TCTCAAAAAAAGAAAAAAAGAAATTAGACCACAGGCAACAAAAGTATTTATTTTTGTTTGGCAGGAATAAAGGGTAGCTCATAGAGTATTTGTCTGAAGAAGTAAACAGGCAAAATAAAATGTATGGGATGCCACAGTATAAAATTTGGACTTTCAGATATCTGAAGATGACCTTACCTGAAATTTAGATGGACACCCTAAATTCAATAAAAGATCATTCCCAGGTTGGGCACGGTGGCTCACGCCTGTAATCCCAGCACTTTGGGAGGCCGAGGTGGGCGGATCACAAGGTCGGGAGATCGAGACCATCGTGGCCAACGTGGCGAAACCCGGTCTCTACTAAAATACAAAAAATCAGCCGGGTGTGTTGGTGCGTGCCTGTAGTTCCAGCTACTTGGGAGGCTGAGGCAGGGGAATTACTTGAAGCCAGGAGGCGGAGGTTGCAGTGAGCCCAGATTGTGCCACTGCACTCCAACCTGGCAACAGAGTGAGACTCTGTCTCAAAAAAAAAAAAACCCTTGGGATACCCACCTGGGGCCTTAGTAGTTATGTATCACCCCTCTCCCCCAACAATGACACTTCCCCTTTGCGTCCCATCCTCATTGTGAGGTTATTAAATGAGGTCTCTAGCTGGGGCATAGCATCAGGACAGGACACACGGCTTTCCCAATTAAGGGCACCACGCCTTTCGGATCTAATTGTTCTGCACAAATGTCCTAAGCTTGTTGCACGTGGAATTGATTGATTCATATACCCCCTGAATTGGTGATATGTTTTCCTGAGGAATTCTACAAGTTTTAGATGTAATCATATACAATGACAAAGTGGGTGGTAGTGTTTTCCCCATGCCTCTAATTTATGTGTTTGTGCCCGGGGTGGTGATTTAGATAGGAGCTTAATAAAATTGATCAAATAAACTACCCCAAACCCACACACCATCGTTTCAGGGAGCTGTCATCCTACGAAGGAGATTCTATATCACCCAGCGTGGGGTTCCGAAACCACCACTGTGTTTTCTTAAGTGCAGCTGGGCTTTCATTTGGTCAGAAAGGTCTTTATTTCTCAGATTGGCCAACAATATCACAGCGTAAATTCAAAAGGTATTGGTTAGCTGTGGAAGAGAGTCATTGTTAGCTGCGTGACTTCTGCAAGTTATTTAAACTCTCTAAACCTCAATTTCCCTTTCTACAAAAGGTGGGTTGATAATTGCTACCTCAAATACTTGTTTTTGTAAGGGTAAGCAATAATGTATCGAGACAGTGGGAGGAATCTTTGTTTCAAACAAATGTAGATGTGTATCCTAGCTCCATCTTTAGCTGTGCACATCACTGGTCCTCTGTGAGCCTTTTTCCTAGGCTGTGACGTGGTATTGGTTATAATTGCAAGAGAAGACCTTCTGTGTGATGGGGTTGTCTGTGGATCTGATGTGGAGGCCCAGAGACATGTATGGCCTAAGAGATTGACTACAAGGCTAACTGCCTAAGTTGCTAAGATGCAGCAGAGACTGAGGCCAACATCAACACCAGCTCTGGGGACAGAGGAGCAGCTGTTATCTAGACAACACTCTTGTATTGATATGATATTGACATGATGCTTGTTGACACAAGATAAATATATTTGAGAGGAAGCAGTGAGGGTGAGAACAAAATCCCTGTAAGAAGGTGGACAAAGAGTGGATCTTCTCTTTGGGCTCTTGTCTGAGCAAACAAGGGTAATCCCTCCTCCCTGATGTGAGAAACCGATCTCAGTCCTTGCCCAGAAAACCAGTAAATGAATGTACAGCGGGAAATACCAGAATGGGAATGCTTGAGAATAACTACAAGGGCAGGTTCCTTTGAGTAGTTTATTTTCGGTTAGGGAGGCGAGTGGTATTAGGGTTAAGATTGTGGTGAATAAATATGTGCTCCATGAGTTAGGAAAGAAATGCATGTGTGAATGAATGCATGGTTTGGGATTCTAGCTTTATCAGATTCACTGGGTGACCTGGGGCAAATCAATTAACTGTTCTGGGCCTCCATTTCTTCTCTATAAAATGGAAATAATAAAAATAGCTGCCTAATGGTGAGAATTAAATATGTTATTGCAAGTTAAGCTCTTAGGTGAGAGACTGGCACTTCATAAAACCTCTCAATAAGTGAATACTATTGTTGTGATGATTTGTCATTACACTGTGTGTTCATTAGTCACTGATCCAGATGGCTTGGCTTCTCCTTTTAAGATGTTTGTATTCTCTGTACTTTACAGGTCAGCAAGTCCTGGGCTTGGTGGAGAACCAGAGTGACTGGTACCTTGGAAACCTGTGGAAAAATCACCGCCCATGGCCAGCCCTTGGAAGGGGCTACAACACAGGTAAATTCTCAGGGTGGTATGGGCAGAGTTGCAAAAGGTGATGTGAGGGCCCGGTGCTCCTTTCTTAGGAGAGGAGACTGCAGAAGCTCAGGAGGCCACCTGATTGCTTGAATTCAGCAGTGGATGGTATGTGGGCAGTTGGCATTCCAGTTCCTTCTTGGTGCTGTAGCCACAGGTGGAGTAGCTGTTGGGCCATGGCAGTCTGTGGCATCTGTCACCAGAAAGCCCCTCTCCTGACCTCTAATCCAAATCCTATTGGATATCTTTATCAGTATGACCTGTAGGTTCGCTGGCTCTGTTAATACGGACCAGAGATCATTCTTCAGTAACAACCCCAACTTTTCAGTTTCTTAACACAACGGATATGTATTTTTGCTAATCACATTCCACGTCCACTTGAGGTCTTCAGGGATCTGGGTTCACTGTAGGTATTCAGGATTCATCTCCATGCACACTTCCATGTATGTGGTGGGAAAGTAGCAGAAGTCGTATTATCTCTTAACGTTTTTTGTTTAGAAGTGATACAATTTCATATTTCATTGGCTAAGCATGTTGTGTGGCCATGCCTCCCTTCATAGAGTGTGGGCAAGGGCAGTCTACCATGTGCCTGGCAGGAGAAAAGGCAGAAATATTTGCTAATCAGCACTTTTGAGGACCACATGTGCCTGGCAGGAGAAAATGCAGAAATATTTGGTAATCAGCTCTTTTGAGGACTACAGATCTCTAACCATATGTCTAAAATAAAATCCATTATTCTACCTTGTTACTAGCCACAAACTTGCGTCTCCTTTTTAGTTTCTTTCTCTGTTATTGGTGTCCTTCATTCATCCATCAGCCCTTCTTGTTCACCAGCTATCTCTTCAATGCTTACTGTGTACGAAGCCCTGTGGCAGACACAGTCCATGACCTCATGGAGTATATAAGCAGTGAAACTAGAGCAGCCTCTTCCTTCTGAGGCTCAATTCCCATCAGTGTCTATCTTTGAAATGCTTCTGGATCCTTCTGCCTCTCTCCTCCATCCTCATTGCCACTGCTGTGGTATCCCATTCTCAAAGGATGCAGACTCCTGATCTTTATCAGACTAGAATGTGGAACTCAGGGAACAGTAGGGTGGGTGAGACCAAGAAGCGCTGGAACTTGGCATCTGAGACCAGCAAATGAGGTGGGCTGGGACAGGTATCTGGCTCTGGGGACAGTACCACCTAAAAGTGATAGGTGAAGCCTGCCCTGGAGGCTGAGGCCAGTCTTTAGTGGGATCAGCCAAAAAGAGATCAAAACTCTGAGAGCTGATGGTCAGACTCCAGAAGAGTCTAATGCAAACACAGGGCCCCAGAGAACAAAGGAGAAGGGACATGAGTCAAGCTTGCAGAGGTGAGAGTTCATAGACGGGGTCAGAATGGGGGTCAAAGCTGGAGGAGGACAAGGAAAGAAAGTCCAGCATCAATGTCCAGAGGTGGCAGGCAGCCAGGGAGACCTCTAATGAATGCCATCCTGAGAGACGGAGATATTCCTTAGCTAACATCTGTCTGAGTATTAGATATGCTTTGTGCTATGTAATTTTTTTTTTCCTGTAACGCCTACCAGGTAACAGAGGTTGCAGTTGAAGAATGCCAACCACCGGCCCTTCACAGGCCCCAGAGCCCCACCCTGGAGTCTCCCATGCTGTGTTGGGCATTAACCCTTTAGTTGCTGGATGGTGGGGAAGTCTGAGGAGTTCCTGAGAGGGGCCGGGTTGGGGAAAGGCAGCTAAGGGCATCAGAGCAGTGGTTCTCTTAGCAGGTCAGGAGGTATTTCACTTTTTCAATAATGGGTAAGCCAGTGCCTCTATATATCAGCTGAGTATTAGCCAGGCACCATGTTAGGTGCTTTATGGGTGTCAGTCTCCTTTGATCCTCACACTCACCCCATGAGGCAGGTGCCGTGCTTATCTGTATTCTATGCCAGAGGAAACTGAAGCTTAGAGCATTGAAGGCTGCAACGCTGAAAAATCAAGGAGGCTGTGGTGTTCACTACCAACCTGTCTTGCTTGAACTTTAATGGCTTCAGGATTAAACACTTTCCAACAATGGAGATTCCCGGGCTCTGCCCTTCAAGAGTCTGATTGACTGGTTCTGTGCAGGAGACTGGGATTCTGCCCTACAGGAAGCCTCTAGGATGTTTCTGGGGCAGAAATATCCAAGGGCCTGCTCTGATTATCAAACATGGCACTCCGTTTCCTGTCCCAGCAAGCTCTCCCAGACGCTGTTTTCTCAGAGCCTTGGAGACTGGACCCTCCATGAACCCACAGCAGGCCAGGGATGGGGGCTCCACGTGCTTTCCTCTGGCAAGTGACTGGTCACCCCATGTTGATCTTTTGTGCCTGGATTTTCAGACACGTTCCCTCCAAACTTTTATGGAGGTGGAGACAGCCATGTTTCTGGGTGGGATAAAGGAAGTCTCAGGAAAACCCTGGTGTATACATTTCGTTTCTCTCTTCCAAAATATATAATAGAAAATGTCACATAGAAATATACTGCAGTGCCTCAGGGATGCTGCATCAAGATCATGGTTACCTGTGTAAAACAAAAGCCACTGGTCATCAATCCCGGTTTGCAGGGAAAAGAAGAATGTAGCACACTGGGGAATTTATTACGACCAAAATGGCATGTCTCCTCCTGCCCGTCCCTATTTGCTATAGAATGTAGCATCAGGAGACACAGGAGCACATAAACTACCTCCAGTTCCCGCTTGATATGCCAAGGCAGTGAGTTACTTCCCTCCTCGCTGGTACTGAAAGGGCAGAGCAGAAAGGGGAAAGCCCTGTTGAAGTGATGTGTTCATTTAAACAAGCCAGTGACACTGAGTGATTATGATGAAAGCACTTAGGCAACATGAAAATGCATTGGCTTTCACGATGGGGATGTGTCGCTTTAAAACCAAGGATTGTGCCACATAGTGAATGAGTCATCCAGACATGTACATTCTCATGGAAACTGAGGACACCACTGGAGAGAACCTGCCACCCTAAATCCCAACACATCTGAAGCCTCCAAAAAGGATATCTCCAGCAAGAGCCTCCTGTTGTATGCCTTCAGCTTGATGTTAAGAACCCAGGCAGATCTGGGTTACAGCTGCAGTACATTTCGTCTTCGTATGCACTTGGCCAAGTCGCTTCACTCCTTGAACCTCAGTTCTCTCCGTTTTTAAGATAGGACAAGACCAGGCGCGGTGACTCACGCCTGTAATCCCAGCACTTTGGGAGGTCACGAGGTGGGTGGATCACGAGGTCAGGAGTTCAAGACCAGCCTGACCAAGATGGTGAAACCCCACTCTACTAAAAATACAAAAAGTTAGCTGGGCATGGTGGTGGGTGCCTGTAATCCCAGCTACTCGGGAGGCTGAGGCAGAGAATTGCTTGAACCCAGGAGGCAGAGGTTGCAGTGAGCCAAGATCACGCCACTGCATTCTAACTGGGCAACAGACTGAGACTCTGTCTCAAAAAAAAAAAACAAAAAACAAAAGACATAACAAACCTAGTATGTGAGGATTAGCAATTAATGTTGGAACTTGTTTAATGAGCCTTGCCTGATTGAGGGTACCAAATAAGTACTTAGTAAATCTTAATCTTTCTCCTCTTGCATTTTTCTGCTACTTGCTCTATCAGGAAATGAGATTTACACACTGGAAAAAGGCGGTTATGTGACCGACTGGGGTTTGCTAAGGTCTCCCAAGCCCTTCGGTCAGAAAGAACGAGTATTTTACTTTCCCCAGGTGTAATCCAGCTACCTAGCAGCGTTTCCTGTATCTCTTTACTATCTGAAAAGGTTAGCTTTTTGTATCACATTAGGAAAAAAAAGTGACTATTTAGTTCGAATATCAGCTTCCTCGCTGTGTTTTACTTTGAAAATCCCCAGAAAAAGCATACGAGATGTTTGTGTTGGAAGCTCTACCTTCAAGACCTGGCTTTGTTGCTTTTAAATTCTGTGCCTTTTTTAGAAAGCTTCCCCAAGCTCAGGGAGGCTTGGGCTTCTCATCTGCGAGCTGGGGACCTCGGAACCCACTCAGAGGCTCCCTTGTGGTCGTGCAGCCTTGTGTGCCTGGTAAACCAAAGTGCTTTAGGAAGTTGGTTGTGATTCGTATTTATCCTCCTAACCACAGCCCAACTGAATAACTCTTTTCAGGTAATTCAGATTCAACCGCAGACATCAAACACGGCCTCTTCACTACACATTCTTTCATTCACTCATTCCACCAGGCATCACACCAGGCACCATAGCGTGCATGGGCTTTGTTAATTCCTTGAATTATCTTACAAACTAGACTTTTCCTCTTACAAAGGCCAGTCAGGTTCCCCCGTTCTCTTTGTTTGCTTTTCTTTCCCAGTCTGCTTTTACAAAGCCTACACGGCCACAAAAGATTAGAGAAGATCTTTCCACCATCTCCCATTTATCTCCTTCCCTTCTTACTAGAGCTGTTCCCAACTTAATTCCAGAAGCTACTGAGCCACCGCAGCTTCAGATGGATAACCAGGCAGATCCTAGCACAAAGCTCTTGCCCATAACTGTTCAGGTGGAATTACGGGCGCGTCTTTCACAGTCTTGCATGGAGATGGGTCCGTTTCTAGCCACTCTGCCCAGGCATCATCTCCTAGATGCAAAAAGCTGTCATTCACCCAGCATTCCGCTGTGAGCAGGACTTAGAAAACAACAACAACAAAAATACACCTAGGATTTTGACAGGCTCATTGAGATTCAGCTGTCTTCAGTTCCTAAGCTGATGGATGAATATCTTAAAAACAACAGCAAAGAAAAGGGGAAGGAGGGCTAAACATAGCAGAGGATGGGAGAATGAGGTGAGGGAAGGCAGATCGGTAGAAAGAAGATGGCATGTTTGCAGATAGGTTTATTTGCATGGGATCCCAAAGGCGACTCAAGCACAAGATGCATCCTCCCCAAGTTGAAGGGCGTAACACTAGCCAGAGAATGTGCTTTTTAAAACAATTTAAAAATAAAATGTATCGT